GTTTTATACATATAACAGTTAACAAATAAAAGTGTATGATTATATTGTTTTAAAATTATGACTTTTTATACGAGTTCTATATAGCAAAACGTTTTATTTGAAGATAATTTATTCATAGAAATTTGTTCAAACTTTTTTGTTAATTTTTTAGCATAAAAACTTTAATAATTCAATTTTAAAGTCTATTTAAGTGAAATTTATTTAAAATCTCTGAAATTTAATTAAATTTCATTTCATAAATTCAATATAAAATTTCATAAATTAAATATATATGTAAAACTTTTATTTTACTTTTCTTTATTTTGCATATGTATAATATTGGAATTATGATATAAATGAGCAGATATAATACTATAAGTAATTTATGCGTAGGCGAGAGTAAATTAAAAAAGCTCGAATGCTTGTGTTGCGGTTTACACTTATACTCTGCACGGTCAGCGGATGCTGGCAACCGCTTTCATGGACATCGTTATCGAAACATATAATATATGACAGTTATAGAATATTGCTAATTTGCTTAATAAGTGCATTTACAATATCACAAGTTATGAACATTGCATTTAACATTGACAACTTCAGTGAAATAAGTGATAATATATATATGACGTTAACGGTATTTATCGCAACTTACAAATTAGTTACTATGTGGATAACTAAAAGACACGTCAGAATGATAATAAATATTCTTACGGAGGAGCCTTTTAAACCGTCGGAATCATGCGAAGTAATGATTCGACAAAAATATGATAAAATAATAAAGTAAGTATTATTTGCGAGTTACACAAGTATAAACGTATCAGTCATCATTCAATAATCCATTTCTGAATAATCGAAATATTTTAACTCCATTCATTGCATTACTAAATACATATAGCGATACTTTAGAATGTAATCATATCTGATATTGTGTTTATTTAGTTTAACATCACATAATATATTGTGTTTGGCACCATTTGATCATTTTCCGAATATAATTATTTTTTACATTCTCCCAATGCTTGTAAATCATCAATATCTCACAAACAACATAAATATAAATAGTAACATAATTCGAGGATAATGTAGCAATGTGAGTAAACTAATATAAGCAAATGCTTGAAAAACAAATAGATATAATAATTTTCCATAGTCCATTAGAATATTTTCATAAGAAACATGTATTATAGGAAATACGCGTCCTGGTATTATGGCCTCGTCCAGATAACAGTCATATGCATAATTTTAAATGCCGTCATTATGGATTTCATGAATGGAAACTTGACATACAAGGCATGGGTGCCATTTGAATATAAGTCATCCATTATATTTTACTTCGTATTCACTCACCAAATGATAGGTATGTCAATTACTGCGGCTGTAAATGTTGCCTGTGACAATCTGGTATCTGGACTCCTGCAGGAGATTTGCTGTCAACTTGAGATCCTGGAATACCGACTAACGAAAATTTTACATGATCAACATTTCCTTCGTGATTGTGTACGTCACCACGACCGTATATATGAGTTAGTTTTTAAAACAATTCTGTTATGTAAAAAATTTTGAAGTATTGGCATTTTTTAATACATTTTGTGCAAAATTCTCATTTTAAAGTAGTTTGAAAATGATTTAATCGAAAAAGAATGTTATAAAAGATGTCTGATGAGATTGATACATTACTTTGAAAGTTACATACATAGAGAATACACTAAAATCTTTTATTTAATCGTAGATACGCGTATATGGTAAATCGGAGGTTTGCGAAGATAATCGCTCTCCAGTTTGCAGTAAGCATGCTAGTGGTGTGTGCTAATTTATACAAATTAGCTTCTATTCCTACTCTGATGCTCAATGGCGGTCTCGTTACACTGATACTGTATACAGCTTGCATGTTATCACAGATTTTTCTCTATTGCTGGTTTGGAAATGAACTCAAATTAAAAGTACATAATTCACCTACATACATATGATCTTATATTCATATATATAAAATAAATTGATTAAATTTTGTTATATAAAAGAAATTAATTAAATTTTGTCTGCAACTATTAGAATTTGAAATATTATAACAGTAGAAATTAGAGATAAAGATAAAGAATTATCACACAACACGTAATATATTTTTAATGTGATATGCAGTATTTTATTAAAAGTTTACTTACAGAGTACTGGAGTAGCAAACAGCATATACAATATGGAATGGCACATCCTTGATAACAAGAGCAAAAGAGATCTCCTGTTAATCATGAAACGCTCGATGATTCCTATTGAATTTACTAGCGCAGTTATCATCACAATGAATCTTGAATCGTTTGTATCTGTTAGTATATCAATTATAAAAATATATTTACTTCTTTTTGTAAAGTATATTTAAAATAATGTTAAAATTTTCAACATTTTTTACAGTTACTTAAAGCATCATATTCAGCTTATAATTTATTGAAACGCTCACAGTAAGAATAAAGCAGCAACATAATTGATAAATAAAAATTATAATTATGTTTCACGAAGCGACATGCAAGGTATGAATGAGAGACAAAATTATAAATTAAGACAATATTACGAAAAATTTTACTACCAGTAGATATATTCAAGTAATGTTTATATTTTGTGTTTCTCCTTGGACTACAAATATTTATAGCCTGCGTTAAAACTGTTGATTGATACTTTTATTATAATAAATAATATTAAAAAGAAAAATGAGGATTGGGGGGACGCTCCCTGAAAAAAGCGCCAATGTACAATGCCCGAAAGGGAATAAACATTCTATTCTATTAAAAAGAAAAATGCATGAAAATAAATATATTATAGTAGAAAAATTTGATTATATCTGCCGTGCACAACATCATCAGCTTTGCAATTAAAAATTTAAAATAATTTTCTTATACATACATATACATATATAAACATATACATATATATTCACTAAATAGAAAATAAAAATAAGAGTCACAATATTCAACAAAGCATGTGATGATATTTCGACATGTGACAGTGGATAATAAACAGTACACTCTAACAAAAAGTGTATTACTGTCTGACTGATGAACGTATTGACTATCAACATTAAAATTTCATTGCTATGAACTATAGCTAACGATTCGCTACGCAACAATCAAGTACACTTTGCGAACAGGTAGTAAAAATATTTTGTAATGTACTATAACCGAGCCATATTGAAGGAAACATAATCGTGGAAATATATCTCACCGGAGACAGTTCAACGAATTTATTCTATGTCTATCTGCCTCTTCTATCTCGTCGTCTTCATGAAAATATTCGTAGATGGTACATTATGTAATTTTCTAATAAAACATACATCTAGAAACAATTTTGTGCCTTGGTTCATGAAAATATTATTTCTCGAGAACGTCGTTGTTCCATATTATAATAATAACAGGAATATGGATACGCGCGGGACGAGTAGACATATCACAATTAGAAGATCATCGAGAGATGCAATAGACATTTTATCCATTGTCACTTGATAAGAAACAAAGATTTAATCAAATAATGTTCCTGAATTGTGTGAGCAGTTTAATTTAGTCTTGACAATGTGATAGAAAATTGTGACAGCTGAAGCAGACAAGTAGTGCAAATTAAACATAAAGTCTTTGTAAGTGCACTATACATACATATGTAAGAAATCTTACAATTAGTACTATAAAACAGGTGAACAGTTAATTTTTAATTAGTGTATAATTTTCACTTTACGACTTTCACAAGTAAAATTTGATGACTAATGAAAAATTATTTCTTTTCCTGAAATTAAATATGTTTACAATTTTTCATACAATACTGAATATTTTATTTTACTTGATCTTAAATCATAAAACATAGCTTAAACAGAATTTATTTATAAAATTGTATAAATAATAAGATTTTAAAACAGATTTCAAAGGATGCTGTATCTCTTCTTTAAATTATTAAAATCATTCTTAACATTTTTTTTATCCGTCCTTAAAATCCGTCTTTAAAGAAGACGTATTTCGATTACGATAAACAACAATATAATGTTGACAGCAAATTGCAAAGGTTAATTTACGTTAAAGAAAAGCTCAAATGAACCTGATGAAATTTACACTCATGATCTGCGCGCTCGCTGGATGCTGGCAGCCGCTCATGTGGACATCGCTGTTTAAACATATAATTTATAAGGCTTATGCAATGTTTCTGATATCTTCATTATATATATTTCTACTTTCACAATTTATCAATATCATATTAAACGTCGGAAACTCTGATGAATTTACCGATGCCTTATACATGATGTTGACGATACTTGTAGCAGGCTACAAACAGGCTTACATGTGGATAGACCGTAAGAATGTTATGATAATAATAAATGTTCTTACTGAAAAACCATTTGCACCATATGAAACACACGAAGTAACAATTCAAGAGAAATTTGAGCAAAAGATACAGTAAGTGTTGTTAGAATATTGTACAATTAAATCAGTCAGTTCTTGAATTTTCTAAGTAAAATACTTTACCGTGCCTTTTTAAAGTATTTTATATTATTGTTTATAGTAATAATAGCGTAATATATCTTACAACGTTATTGCATATACTTTATCGTATAGTAACTTGTATGTATTGTATGTATGGTATAGTAACTTGATTTCATATACAATAGCTTGAACATAGATACTGTATAAATTGTTTCTTATTTAATTAAAATTTTTTAAAGCACATTTATGTAAAAACTTTTTATAAAATATTTTAACAATTATAAATACAGGTGCAAAATTAAAACATGTAAATAAAAATTAAATAACAAATAGAAACAGCAATGTAGGAGATGTAAAAAAGAAAACGAGCCGATCTTGCAAAATTGGTTGCAAACAACTTATAAAATTAGTTTAATTTCTTATTTATTTTATAGGAATAATACGCGGAGGTATTTAACCATCGTCATGATGTCAATCACATCGATACTAACGATGTCTGTATCCACGGATCTTATGAAAAGAAATTTAACATATAAGGCATGGATACCGTTTGACTACTCATCTCCTGCTACATATTTTGTTGTATATACTCACCAACTAATAGCCATGTCAACTTCTGGTATAGTAAATGTTGCTGTCGAGAGTTTACTTTGCGGATTTTTGCTACACATCTGCTGTCAGTTTGAAATTCTGGAATATCGATTGACAAAACTCACGCATGATCAAAATAGTCTGCGCGACTGTGTTTGCCACCACAACCAAATCTTTGAGTTAGTTTATTTAAGCAGTTTTGTATTTAAAATTCTTCTAAGCTTTTTCTTCCAACTAGAAAACACAGATTGCATGTAAAAAGTATAGATATGTTTTTGAAACAATAGTTATTTATTAAATAGAAAAATAATCAAAACAATAAATAATTACAAAACAAATTAAATTATTTTTTGCAATTGAGAAAATAGCAAAAGTTTCCTATTTGTAAAAGATAAAAATCTAGAGATCGTTTCAGCATCGAAATAAAGAAATGCGAATATGTAAGTTAACAAAATCTTTAACTGTTTAATTGAACTCTAAGTAACATTTGATTGACAAGAGATTAAAAAAGAATTTTTGTAAAGATTAACTCTTTAATAAATACTTGAGTTTTAATACTTAAATTAAATATTCAAACGCTTTAATTTATTTCATACATTTTTGTAACTGAAAGTATACGTACTTGTTAGCAAAATTTTAACCGAACAAATATAAATTTGAAAACAAAAAATTATAGAAAAAGAATTGTGAGAAAAATCTAAAATATTCTAAATATTTTGTCTTAAATAAGCAACTAAATTTAAGTAAAATAAATTTTACAAACCGTAAATAACTACAAAGTTTTTTTAAAGGGTGTAAACCAAGAATTTTTAATCGCAGATACGCATATACAGTGAATAATATGTTCGCAAAAATAATCGCTATCCAGTTTGCTGTGAGTATGTTGGTACTGTGTTCAAACTTATATCGAATAGCTATGGCGACCGACTACGTGAGCTTCATTCCATTGATAATGTATACGAGTGCTATATTAGTACAGATTTTCATCTACTGCTGGTTTGGAAACGAAGTTAAATTAAAAGTACATCTTATTTAAATTAATCTTATATGCTTTATATATTAAATATTATTTAAAATAGGATTAATTGTGTTGGGCTAACAATAATTGAGAGAATTAGCAAGTCACTTTTTAAAGTGTTTCATTTTTATTTTTATTTTTGGGGGAATTTTGAATCAGATATCAAAACATGATGTTTCATGCAGAAAGTAAGTGCTTAATATTAATGATTTTTTTAATGATAAAATAAAATATTATACTTTGGAAATAACATATTTCACCCAAAAATGTGTCAAACAGAAGTGGTTTGGTTTAGAAAAAGTAAAACAGTGGCTTTTATATTACCTTGGGTTTTTACAAAGTTTATATTAAAGTCACGTAGGTATAATAAATGTTTTCGAGAGATGACTACCTACTTTAAAAAACATATTTCTTCTTTTATATTCGAATACATTACATATTTTGACATGAAAAAACCTATATGTAAGAAATATCTTCTAGAAAATATGAAATATTTCGTCATAATAAATATTTATTTTTTGATTGTTTTACTCTAATACTATTTTATATGCAAAATGACAAGGAAAATTGATGTACATAAAAAAATCATATAATTCAATTGTAAACATTTTATTAACTTTGATATGACTTTCGTAAAGATTCTTGAAATTAAATTAAGTTCATCAATTTCCATTGCTTTCGAAATCAAGCAACTTCTGTTTAAAACATTTTAATGCGATGGAAAAATGCGTTGCTTCGAAAGTATTTTATTCTATCATTAAAAATATAATATCGTGTAAGAAGCACTACAGTTAATATATTAAGCAGTTACATTTCATATGTAAAAAACACTTTTTTTTATAACTTAAGTCAAAATAACAAAATAAAAAATTGACGCGTAATATTTCTAAAAAATTGCTTGTAAAAAGAAGTATAGTTAAAATAATCACGAAAATTATAAAACTTCTCATTAATACAAAACATACAATTTTAGAGCCTTCAATTGATGAATAGTATTTATCACATAGAATGGCCAGCGCTTAGTAATAGCAATAAGAAAGATCTCCTACTAATGATGAGACGCGCTATGACTCCCATCGAATTTACTAGCTCATACATAATTACGATGAATATCGAGTCGTTCGTAGCTGTCAGTATCAGCCAATTAAGATAAACGTTATCACTATATATGCAATTGCAATTATTTCGAATAACTTTTAATGTATTAATAATTTTTTACAGTTGCTTAAGATGTCATATTCAGTTTTCAATTTGCTGCATCAAACAAATGAATAGTGACATAATTAATAAAAAGAAATTATTATTCTTATTGTTTACATTTATTTTATTACAAAATTACATACGTGGAAAAAATGTTAAAATGTAGAAATAAATGTTAATACCTCGTTATTATCGACAAGATAACATTCAGATCCATAAAACGTTTAGAGTTTTTATTGGTGCACCTTGAAAAATTATTGTTATATTATATGGTACACAAAAATAAGGTTTAAACACTTTTTTAGGAAAAATAAAAAGTATTAATTAAAATATCTCATCAGTACTTAAAAATGTTTGTGGTAAGGTTGAAAATATGAATAAAATAATTATAAACATTTCATATGTGTATGTAATATATTATGTGGTTAGTATTTTTCTATTTTAAAAACACGCTTTATATAAATATCAAATTTTTATCTTAGAAACAACCATTACGTTGTAACATGTACTAAACATAATTAACATGACATGTATGTAAGTTATACACAGACAAGTATATTAAAAAAATATAATTTGCATTCTACTCTTGATTCGTGTGTGAGTATATGTAACAGAGTTTTCTTCGGAATTAAGAAATTTTTCTTACCGAAATTTACGTTTACAATATGAGATAGAATAGACGTAAGATCAATATGGAAATGGCACATGCGGGTATACATGTTAGCCCACCGGCTGCAGGACGAAAACTGAGTAATACTGTGTGTATATGCTATTGGTATTAAGATTTCATAGAGGGAAACTGCAGCTAATTCCTTAACTGACGTTCAAAGATACATATCTGATAAAATTGGATAATACAATAGCAGATAATACAATAGGAAGTAATATTTTGACATACATATGCACAACGAAAAGCATGTACGCATTGAATTATGTGACAAACAGTTGACATTGCAACGTCGAATAACTTATTAAGAATTCAAAGAACTTGCTTTTGCATATATCCGTTTTCCTCTTATCCCGCTATCTCTCTATACATAATAGTACATCATCTTTCTAGTACAACTCTCTAATAAGACATGAATACCGAAATATTTCCGCATTTCAATTCATGAAGATATTACGTGGGGTATTATTTCGTGAGATATTATTTCGCAAGTGAGTGTATGAATTACAATAACAACAAAGATACATACGAAGGATATGTAACGAACAGTATCATTATCGGAAAGTCTCAAGATAGTTTATAGACATTCTCGGTCTATCTTTCTCTTTCAAAATCGGCTTATTCATTTTCATTTGAGATGCAACGAGTTTTGAGACAATGCTTGTAATACTTATATAAAGAGCCTAAATTAACTTAAAAGTGAAAAGTTGATAATAAACGTAAGTATTATAATTAATGGCATAAAAGTAATCAGAAGGAGTTTGTGTGTATGCGCGTGTGCGTAAGCGAGTGAGTGAGTTAGTGAGAGAAAGACAGAAAGACAGAGAGAGAGAGAGAGAGAGAGAAAGAGAGCATAATATAAATATTACATACTTATCAAAAGTTTATTAAAAAATAAAATATTAGGTTTTTGAGATATTAACATTTTATAAGGTATTCATGTAGTGAATTACCTAAATGAATGTAAATTCTTCTTGACGGAATTATTATAAAAATTTCATTAAATTTTAATTAAAATTCAATATCAAACATCAATATTTGATATTTTCAGTTAAACAATGTTATACGGAAAGTGTACTTCTAAAATCAATAAAATGTACTTTAAACTAACAGAAAGCAGAATTTTATTAAATATATAAAAAATGGAATTTTAATTTTTATGAATTTTTCAACATTGTTAAAGTTATTATATTAATTCTAGTAACCTTTATTTGCAAAAGAGCGCTAGCAAAGATGTAATTGTTATCTGTAAAAGAGAAATGTTTATTTAAAATAGTAAAAAATAATACAATTAATGATTATTAATTGGTATTAAACAAAATTTCGTTAAAGAGGCTCCGATGCTGGAATTTACACTCCTAGTCTGCGTACTGACTGGATGCTGGCAACCCAAATTATGGACATCATTATTTCAACATATAATTTATAAATCATATGCATTTTTCATTGTCTCTTCATTATATACACTTTCGATATCTCAATTTATGAACATCGTGCTCAACGTTAAAAACTCTGATGAATTCATCGATTCTTTATATATGATGTTGACTGTATTAGTCGCAGGCTATAAACAAGTTTATATGTGGGTAGATCGTAAAAATATTATGGTAATCATCAACGTTTTTAAAGAAAAACCTTTTGCGGCGGTAGATGAACACGAATTTGAGATCCAAAAAAAATTTGAGAAAATGGTACAGTAAGTATCAATGAAAATATTGCACTCATTCTTTAATAATACGTTTGATATATCATATTATTTATTATGTGTCCTTTAAAAACTTTAAAAAAATATTAATTATATACATTTTGCATGGCGATGTGCAAATTATAGACAACATATAGAATGATTTTCCAAAAAATTATTATATTTTTCTTTGCAATAAAAGAAAAATGTCTTCTGTATTTGTAATTAAAAATTTAAGAGAAAATTTTATAGATTAATAAAATAATAAAGTTTAACAAAACTTATATAAAAGATATTGGTTAAAATAATTTTCATGGTCATTTTACAGGAATAACACTTTACGATACTTGAGTGTCGTTATGGCGGCAATAATATCAATAATTTTGATGTCGGTTTTTACGGCATTTCCAAGTGGAAGTTTGACATACAAGGCATGGGTGCCGTTCAATTATTCGCATCCCGTTTTATATATTTGTGTTTACTGTTATCAATTGGTAGGTATGGCGTCCTCCGGTATAGTAAACGTCGCTTGCGAGAGCGTAATATGCGGTCTTTTATTACACATCTGCTGCCAGCTTGAAATTTTGGAACATCGATTGTCAAAAATGACAGAAGATGAAAGAACGCTGGGTGACTGTGTTTATCATCACAACCTTATCTTTGAGTTGGTTTCTTATGTAATTATGTACAATAAAGTTCCATTTTTTAAAATAATCGTTCTTTCAATAATACAAAAATAATTAAAGCTTATACTTAATGTACAAAATTTTAATTTTTGTTTATGTATCTCTTTTAAAATTAATTTTGGATTAATTCTTTCTTACTCGTTAAAAAAAAATTTTGTATATACAGGATGCTCCGCAACTTTTCGACCGCCGTTCACGGGATGGTAGAGGGGACTAAGAACGACTTCGATTGCCTGCACTAGTGCGCACTGAGTGCACACTAAGGCCTGTTTGTAGTCAATTTTTATATTTAACTTTGTCTTAAATACATGTTCAAAAAGTATTTAACCAAAAAATGATTCGCGTGGATGCTATACAGATTATTTTACTGGCTACGAAATATTTCAAGACATATTTAAGACCATCCTTAAACATAAGAATTGACTGTAAACAAGCCTTAGTGTGCACTCAGTGCGCACTAGTGCAAGCAACTGAATTCGCTATAAGCCAAACAGAAAAATCCTCTAACATTTTGCACTTGGAGGAATATATTACTATTTAAAAATCGCCGTATTAGCCCGACCTACTAGCAAATGTAAGCGCGCGGTGAGATGCGTTCGCCCGCCTTATCGGCCGCCGCTCGAGGCGGTGTGCGTCAAAGAGTAGAGAGATTTATGAAGAATGTTGACCACTCTGTGAACGGTCGTATAAGCGGCGGACAGACAGCGGCGCGCCTCTTTATTCCTCGCCGCACTCCACCTCGAGAGGCGGCCGATAGGCGGGCGGATGTCACCGCGTGCTTACATTTGCCAGTAGGTTGGGCTAATACGGCAATTTTTAAACGTCAATAACTCGATAACTATTCCTCCATGTGCAAAATGGTACAGGACTTTTCTGTTTTGTCTTAGTCTCCTCTACCATCCCGTGGACCGCGATCAAAAAGTTGCGGAGTATATTATACAGGGTGCTACG